ATATATATATATATATATATATATATATGGAAATCAAAATAAGATGGTTCAACTAAAACTTAAAAATTTTTTACTTGGTGTTAGTCCCATTTACTGGTGACTGATGCTGACATCAGTAACAAAATTTGTATTAGCACCTACATTGTGATAGATTAGTTAGTGTTATGTTAGCTCATATTATTTAAAGCAGTAACTATTTAGATCACACTGCCTACCTGTTTTTAGATGTAAACACTTACATACACTATTCACGAAAATGTTTTATTACAGTTTGAAGAAAAAACACAAGAGACATTCAATATTGATGAAACTTGTTTAATACAAATATCACAAGTAAACAATGCCAAGCAACTTAAAAAATTATTTTACAAATAAAATTAATAAAAAATCCCAATATTTGACTGCACCAGTTCCCCATATTGCTGACAACATTTTGGATGACTTGCTGGGGCAGCACAGTCCACTTTTGGATGAGAGCAGCTTCGAGTTCCTTGATAGTTCTGTGAGTAGAGTGTCTGTCTCTAACTGCTTTCTCTAACAAGTCTAACACACGCTCTATTGGATTTACGTCCTGTGACTTAGCAGATCAGTTCAGTACCTCAGGTACTCATTCATCCTTAAAAAACTTTGATGCCTTGAGATTAGTACAGGGGTATCCTATCTGGTATCCTGGAGTAAGTTCCTGACAATTGAGTATGATACACACATTCCAATTGCTTGCTGAAGTTCATTCCTGAGGCCCCTAGTACTCCTGGTGTAGTTTCTAAGGGCTAAATTCTACAGATATTGATTGTATGCTGCACCTGTAGCCCTTCCTTGGCCCTGGTCTGGCCTTCTAGTATATTTTTCCTGTGGCCTGGTATCTGTGCTACAACCTACTGGTCATAGATTGTGATCCACACCATGATCTGTGCTATCCTGTCTGGGTGCAGCCCTCCTGAAGTAGCTTGACAGCCCTGCAAGCTTCAGTTTCAGTTAATTGATCTCTAACAACTTGCACGCTCTTTAGAAAAGTCAATACAAGCAAAAAAAAATCCATCAGCCTAACATTATATTAACAGCATCCTTACTAATCGATCAAACTAGCCTTTCTTTGCACAATTTGGGTCATTTTTCATAAAGGCCTATTATATATGAAATCATTGGTGCATAAATTTGCAAACCCTAGGTAGAATTAGTGTAATCTTCTACAATAAGCATGTCTATTACACAAGGAATCTTATAATTTATTTTTGGAAGAGTTAGTTCATATTCATGTTTGGAAAAATACTATTAGTGTTGGATGAGTTAATCTTACAAGTGTTTAATGTCTCAGTAGTTAAGGCTTAATTATGAATGTAAATATGTAATGTTTAGTAAACTAAAATATGTGATACATGAATTTTAGTAATATCTTTATTGCATGTTACTTATACACAGATGACTTAACCTTAAGCCTAACAAATATAACATGAGAAAATCTATTGATTGCATCTTTGTTTTGAGAAACAAGTAAGGTAACAAGAATTTCCCAAATGTTGTACCATATACATATCACTTAAAAAATATATTAATACCACCAAACCCTGTCCCAGCTACTGTAGTGTTGTTCAAGTTGACAATTAGTATTCATATTTAATAATGTATCTGTTTTTAAAGATTTTTTGAAATTTATGGACTTTCATAGCTTTTATAATTAAAGTTGTAGGCTTTTCATAAATAATTTCCCTTTCCTTGACAGCTGTCAGTATCCCATCTAGCTCAGTGCCAGGCCAATCTGTAGTACTTACTGCTGGCCAGGAAGTTCTGGTGTTAAAAACCCCCAAAGGGGTTTACCTCCGTCTTCCCGATGGACGTTTGGTGGCAGTAAGGCTTCCTCCAGATGTAGCTGAAAATTTTCGTCGTCAGGGTCAGTTTTTAAATGGACTTTTTGGTGATGGTGCAAACTCTGGTAATTATTCAGCAATTTGTCAATTTGAATATATATTGTTTTATATTAACAATTTGAGCAACTATAAGCTTATACTCTTTTAAGATATGATTGAATAAAATGTTGAAATACCTCTTGACAGCATTTTAATTTTGGAAATATTCTTTTAGGTATACAAAATAATGTGACGTTTGGATTGTACTGATATATATATATATTGATTTTACAGAGAAATATATACAAATATATAGCTACCATGAGTCCTATTTAAAATATTATTTTCATAATATTTTAACTGTCATTTTGCCCCACCCGTTAGGGTAGTAAAAAACAGTTTGTGTAAGCATTAAAATATAAGTTAATGAAATGACTGTTAGATGAGTCAACTTATTCTTGAACATAGATTCATAAAATAATTATTTTATACACATATTTAAGAACTTCATTCTTAATAATTTAATTGTAATTTTAGCTCTCCAACAATCTCATCCTGATGGTACAAAAAGGCAAAGCCAACATTCCTTTGGGGTATGTATTGCTGAGATGGAGATTTTCTCATTTTTTTATGTAATTTTTTATACATGCTTGTTTGTCTCATTTTTTAAAGTGTTTATAACCAGTAACTTTTGATATGACAATTTTAAGTGTTCATCGTGCCTTAGTGTCTTCTTAAACACTTGTATCTCATTATTCTGTTTTGAATAACATTCTCTTTCTCATCACACATTTAGCCCAGGTAAGCCAATTAATTATGAAAAACTGGAACTATATATATATATATATATATATATATATATATATATATATATATATATACTACTAGTACTCTCTCTACTTACTTACTACTATTATGT